TCCGAAACCCGACTTCAAACCCGAAGTAGGCCGTCCTCACCTCTGCGATAACGAGCCCTGATACAACCGTTGAAAGACCTTTGACTTTGTGTCCCTCAGCTTAAACCCTACCCTGAGCCCCAAATCCCAAAAAATTGCCCTGTCACTCCAGCCTGTTCACTGGGCTTAGGAGAACAACGGCTCCCACGTACCTCAGGGTTTGAGGGTCCTTTAGGCCTTGCCTCCCTTGGCTTCAGGAACTGCCTGGCTTCCCGGTTCGGGGTTCCCGGAACCCTCCACACTTTTGTGGGAAGGCAGCCTGTGACCGTTCTCGTTGTTCCTGCTTTTGAATCAGTTACTGTTATGCTGCGGCTGCCTGCTTCCTATCCCCGCCCACAATCCTCCCGAAGACCCGCCCAAAACCCTGAACCCTCAACAGTGTCTTCGGTAGCCTCAGGACAGACTGGAGGACAGACCGCACGTCCAGGGTCCTTGGCTCTCGTCACCGGCAGAGGTGACCCGGTCCATTCGGTGGTTCACGGCTCCACGTGCAAGGTCTAGTGTCAATGCACTACAGTGCTGCGCCAACTCCTGGTGCAGCTCACCAGGAAGTAACATGCGGGCTTGGGGCTTAGAGACTTCGTGAAGAGGAACTGGTAGCAGTTCGGAGGTGAGGCTTCGTGTTCATTTCGAGTTTATCTTCAGGCTTTGGCATCAGGCCTTCGAATGAAGGTGCAAAGCTTTCTCTATGCACGTAGATGGCCACAAGTCCCATGCCGCAGCAAGATGCCCCAGCAATCGTGGGGCCCGCTGTTCGGTGTTATTGTCTTGGGCTTCAGGCGTTCAGATTGTGACAGTGCTAGGACCTGCTAGGATTTGGTGCAAGCGTGTTGCGTTTCGAGTTTGGGGGCCCGGAAGCTTGTAGGGAAACACAGATGCTTTCCATGGAAGCGACCGAGCAAAGCAAACCCCTCATGGAACGCATTCCGAAAATTGAGAAACCTGTACTGCCTGGAATCTTTCATATCCCTCCGACTCGCTGAATGTCCAAAAAGATATTCACGACGAGGCGCCCAGACAGGAGCCGCGTCGTCTCCCGCCGCTTCGCTTGCGAGAGCCAGATTCGCGACTTGCCGCGAAAGAGGAGGACGGCCACGATCTCACGGTTTAGGTTTAAGGAACTTGATTGACGGCTTTGTGCCCGTGGGCTTGGGAAAACGAAGACTTTGAAGACTGTTGAAACAGAATCTGCTCCTGATCGGCACCTGCCCTGAAGGATTCCAAGCCGCTCGCACCTTCCCAAACCAAACAGTAAGGCTTAGGCCGAAAAAACCAATGCCAGCGACCTGAATCCAACACTTTCCCAAACCTGTACTAAGCCTGAAACCCCTCAACCCTAAACGCCGTAAACTTTCTTTTTGCATCCAGCCTGCAACGCCTCTGCTGGGAAGTAAATGAGCGACTAAAGCAAACCTTCAAGTCTGCCGTGCCACTCATCAGGTATGATTTCAAAGGATGCAGCGCCGTAAACTTTCTAAACCCCAAAAGCTTTCAGTCAACCCTAAGACCAGTCATGCATAGAACCCGGATTGAACGCTTCGTTAGGAACCTGCTGCGAGCCCGTTTACTCCCAAACTCGCAAAAACGACAACGTGGAAGCCCTGAAGCCCCCCAAAAGCCTCTAAGAGTATGATAGCCTTGGCTTTACACTGAATTTAAAGGGAATATTTATAGGGCTTTATATAGCATTTCTGGAAGGTTCTTCAACGGCTCAGGTTTAAGTCAGTCACTTTAGTCTTTGCAACAAGACCTGAGACCCCACAAGGCCGAAAGGGCAGGCTCTGAACAAACGTGGTGCCAAGGAGCCAGCGCCAGGCGACTGAAAGCACGCACTCTGCTTGCCCTGTCGCCTGTGCAGCTACAGGGCTGCTCCAGGTGAATGTGGAGTTTGTGGTGCCTGAGGCTGTTCCCTAGTCCCCCACCCTCCGATGGCTTCACCACCAGCGAACTCTCAAAACTTCGAGGCTGGGTTTCTGCTTCTTCCTGCTTTCTTCCAGGAATCAGGGGCCAAGGTGCTGTCCCACCAGAACAGCCTCGTGAGCTGCAGTGTGGCCCGGAGGGCGCCTTGCCGAGACGGTCGGCTACAGCGCTCTAGCTGTTAGCCTGTTAGCTGTGGAGATGACAGGGACGAAAAATCAAAAAGCCTGCGGATCTAAGCCACCCAGATGAGCATCTTATCATCGAGCTTCGGGAAGCTGCGACATTACTTGCTCGTGTGCACCTGGCGGATCTGCGACATCGGCTGCCATGGCCATGATGCGGAACCCAAGTGGGTTCAGGGTTTGGGGTGTGGGGTGCTGCAGTTCTTTGGTGCTTGTGTATCGGGAAAAAAGTATCCTCAAATCCCGGTCCTAGCTCCAAGCAAACCCCTGCAAGACCTGCAAGTTGACGGATGCTCGACTTTGGGCACAACTACCAGCACTCAACCCTGAGACACCCGACAGGATCCTGGGCTTACATATCCTGAACTAGGCGACGAGGCGTTCGATCGTGTAGAACCCCAGAACTTCTTGCTACTGGACTCCAGAGCAGCTCTAGCCCCTTAGTAAGGGGCTAGAGCTGCTGAAACCTGAGAACCCGAAAGCTACAGCCTAAGCTCTCAGAACACTACCCCGAAGAGTCCACAAAATCCTGAGCCCCCCGAACCCTCAGAACCCTAAGCCTGAAGCCTAAACACTGTTTGCTGGAAAGAACACTTCACCCTAAGAGCTAAGACCAAAAGCCAAAGCCAAAAAACAACTCAACCCAAAGCTCCAAGTCCTCAGAACCTTTTCATCACCTGCGGACTTGGCGTACCTTAAACCCCAAGCCTTAAACTAAAGGAGGATCCTGCGAAGCCCACACGCACATTTTCGACACCGAGGCTGGAGATCTGGAGTGCGCCGGAACACGCACCAAGCAGCGAGACTGATAAATCACAGGGCAGGAGGTCAACAAACATAGCAAGCTAAAGTATAGACCCAAAGCTCTGAACCTCCAACTTTTAGTCTCCTCCACCCTCAACCCTCTAAACTCTAAATCCTCCCAAACCCAACACCTGAGAGCATTGGGCAAAACGCTATGTGGACAAGATGCTGTGTGTGTGTTTACATATCTAGTTAGTTGTAGCCGCATATGTCTGCATATGTGCGAACCTATGCACACTCGTATGCCTGACTAAGTGCACACACCCGTGTAGAGTATACTTGTACGCCACTGGCGAACTAATAGCTTGATCGTCTAAACATGCATCCCTCCAGACATACATGTGTTTCCGCTTGGGCTTTTTTTTGCGCTTGCTTCTATTACGGTACGGTACTGCAAGGTAGTGTAACGTAGTTGATACTAACGTACTACAGTCATGCACACCAGTGCGGTGTAAAGTCAGAGGGTACTGGACTTTACCGTGCTGAGGCACTGGGACTTACTGCACTGTAAGGCAATGGCCGTTACTGTACTGCAGAGGCAATGTACGGTGTTTGAAGTATGGGAAACAGATGGACAGATGGATGGATGCATGGATGGATGGATGTATGCAAATATGCATCGGCGTGTGTACATCTACCATAGCGAAGCATAGGTGACGGGATGCCGGCATTGACGCCTACCTGGATGAAGTGATCTAAGTTCCGGAGGTGAGGGTGAGGAATGCCATGATTCACCACATCATCGTACATCAACTGATGACCGATTGAGCCAGCTAACTAGATGTTAACTAGTGACCAATGAACGGATGATTGGATGCAGGGATGAATGAATGAATGCAAGGCATACATAGATGCGCACACATGTTCTCCCTCTGTAGCTAGGGCCGCTTCAATGCCCCACCATGCTGTTCTGAAGTCAACGAGTTCTGTCTTTGAAGGATTCAAGCGGTGCCACTGTTGCGGTTGGGCGTCGAGGGTTTGTATGGCTCTGGGTTAGGTGTTGCGGCTACAAGTTTGGGCTTGGGGCCATTTAGCGCTTCAGAGATTTAGGGTGGAGGCTTGCAGATCCTGCCTTTGCACGAGCGAATTGGCAAGGAGATGCTCTTCCGGAAGCGGCTGAGAACAACTAGGGTCATCTCGGGGTCTCTTGAGGGTTCCTGTACGGGTTCTCAGGGTTTGGGGCTCCTGTCGGCACATCTAGCACAGCAATGTCCAGCTCGAAGCAATGAGCAAATATGCATCAGAAACGTGTGGATCCAGACCCATTCCTGCGAACCAAGAAGATATGATCAACGCGCAATTTCATCACACACACACACCAAGGGAACGGCTCTCCATGCGCGCAGGAAACGAATTTGGCGTGCAAGCCCAAGGCGTGCAAAAGTGCGATGTGCTGACCCTAGACCCTAAGCCTGTGAGCCTTGGCTTGCCCCTTGACTCGTCGCCCAGGGAGCTCCCTCTGCCCAGAACCCATGCCCAAACCTTAAACCCTAAACCCTGCTAAACCGCCAAACGCTTTCAAACCCTAAAATTGAGCCATTTTTTCTCTGGAGGGGCTGCAGTACGCAAGCCCTCTCTCTCTCTACCCCACCTTTTGCATCCTTTTGTGCAGCTGGGCTCTCATTGTCAATCCCTCCACCCGAGACCCATAATAAATATCCTACCACTCTTGGTCACAAGACAACCAGACCCCAAGAACCAACCGGAGGTCTCAATCCCACGTCGGTCAACATAGAGGCGGGAATAATTAGAATAGTGGAACAAGGCTCCTTCCAGGGATCTATACTAAATTCACTAAGTAGGGGCCATAAGTTCTCAAAGGAAACCCTCCAGAATTTGGAAATGTTCAGGACTGTTTTTATTGAAACGGCCAACCTCGACCAACCCAGAGAGAGGACTCCCACAGGCAAGCCTCAACAGACAAAAATCCTTGCTTTCCGCCCAGCAATTCAACAATGCTCATTAGCCATTTCTGTTGTAGCTGGGCTCTGAGCATCAGCCAGCGAGCTAACCCCATCCCAAACCCAAATGTCCGAAGCCCTTCGCCCGCCGCACTCAGGCGATTACGCACCCCTCACTGGAACTCGCCGGATCCACGCTCAACCTGAAGGGGTGTTGGTCGCTTGCAGGGGTTAAGGTTAAGATTGAGGAGTCTTGACGTTTCGGGTTTCGGGCTATGGCTACAGGTTCAAAGACAGTTCGAGAAAGAGCTGACATGTGGCCTACCGGGGCGAAGGGTTCACAGTTGCGGTATGTACCCGGCTGGAAACAGTACAAACGTCGAACTTCGGGGCCCTTCTCAGAGTCACCAGTCATACACTCCCAGATGAAGACGGCATCCCATCAAGTGCCTGGGGCACACCTGCACACCTCGCAGAGACCTGACAATTTTCTTGGACCTAAAAACCCAAACGAACACGAGCTGCCTGCGCAACCCTAAGCCTAAAGCCTAATCCTGGCGTCCTCACCTCAAACCTTGGCCTTGGGGCATCGGAAGTCAGGAGATGTGCTGACAAGGAGCGACCGATGGCGGCTGCCGGCACTGGGCTGCCGGCCGTTAGCAACATCCTCGGACTGGGAGATTTTGGGTTGTAAGGGTTCCTTAACGGGTCCTACCAGGGTTCTGCAAGGGTTGCAGGGTTTGGGATTGAATAGTACAGAGTTGTTAACGTTTTAGGCTTTAAAAGGTTTAACCTCAACTACTTTAAGGCTTCGGGTTTAGGTGACACCTCCAGTCGAAAAACTTGTTGATTTTGCACAAGTCTCCGCGTTCCCGCGGCCCAAAGCCACGCCACAGGCGTTCATCAACCCACGCCTGGTCTAAGGTCAGATGTCAAGATAGCAATGACGCCAATCATATCCAACAGCTATTGCTACTACCATCGCAACTCGTGGGTTGCTTTGCCTCCTGCCTTGCACCGCGGTTTGTGTCTCGGCTCCGGCTGACGTCTAGATTCTGCTGATGCTGCTAATGTTGCTGTGTCGCACAAGCCTGTGTAGCTGTCAAGTGGAAGCATTGCCTCACAGCGCGTCTCTCGGCGGAACCAACACAAGCCTTTTGGATGCGTTGGCTTTCGGAGTCTTGGGACGGGAATACTGCCTCTGACGGACCCCAGGTAGGTGGGCCTCATGCCTAGTCATACACCTTGAAGGCCGCTTGTGTAGTAGCAAGGAAGCCACAACAAGAACAAAGAACAGGAACAAGACGACAAAGCACATTGCACTTAACATCCGTGCACCACTCACCAGCAGTACCGCCAAAACCATGACCATCATCCTCACAGCGGCAGCATCATCACAAGATATCACAAGCTGCAGGCCCCGACCCACATTCCCCAGAGCCCTGCAAGCCCAAACCTGTTTTGCCTCCGTTAAACCCCTATACAGACTCTACAACCCTAAAACCCAGCATATTTCGGGGAGCCCGGGCCTGTTGCGCCTGCGGTTTGCTCGTGCGGCCTCTGCCCGCTTGATGTGAAGCTCACCAGCCACCTCGGCTGGGCCATGTAGCTGGTATTTTTAGGGTTCACGGCTTTAGGGTGTCTGTTTCGGGTTTAAGTTTAAGGTTTCAAACTTCGGGTTTTGGATTCAGGGTTTACGCTCTCACAACTCGGACACAGCCCGGATTCGGGGTTTAAGGTTAGGGGTTTAGGCCTCGGGAACTGAGGGTTTATGGACAGGTCCTTCTGGTTTGCCTTAGCAAACTCCCCACAAGCGAGAACACTTCTCAAACCGTGATTGATCGCCACCGCACCCTGCCTGGACTCGAACCAACTAAACCCTCCCAGTTCCGTGCCGGAACATCCATATGTGGGCGGAGCCACGTCAATGGAAGACACGTCTTGTGGCTGCACCACGGCCTGGATCCAGAGTCTTGCAGCTTCTTGGAGGTGTTCTTTCGGGTAGTAGAATCAATGCTTTAGAATAGCTGAACCTTGTGCAGCAGGCTTTCCACTTCGCCCGGAGCTGGATATCTGAACCTGAACTTTAGACTCTACACCTTTCTGTAACTCTAAACATGAACCCTACGCCCTAAATCCTCATACCCTACACCCTAGACCCTAAATCCTTCGACCCTATACCCCGAACCCTAAACCTAAACCCTATGTTTCAAGTCCAAGAAGGTTGCCACCCCTCCCCCCCACAAGATTGAAACCTCAAGCCCTAAAGACCTTTTGAAGGACATCGGGTTTCAATCATTTCGAAAGAGGCTCTGCGCGGCGTTTATACAGTTTCAGGTTTGGAGGTTGAGAAGTTTTGGGTTTGGTGAGTTGCGCTTACGTGAAGGGCTTCTAGTCTAAAACCTTGATCCAACAACGACGACATCATGATTTAAATGTACCCAACTACCCTGTTGAACCCAGAGCTGGAAAGACAGGACCTTGGTTTTCGCCTGCAGGTGAGACCCAAGTCCCTCCCCCTAAACTCTAAACCCAAATCACTGCTTGAATTTGCCATTTGCCCTAACCCCACCATGAGCCCTGAACCTTAATCCCAAAGCACTAAGCCCTTCACATCAAAGCTCGAAGTCTAATGTCAGCCCGTGGACAACTAGCGCAGTGGTATCGTCGGCGTTGTTGGCCGGAACTCCGCTGCGGGTCCTTCGGTTCCGGGGTCTGGCACGTGAAGTGTTTGGGTATAATTTGATAGACCTTCCAAGTCTGCTCGGAAGTCTCTGATTAAGGTCCAGGGTTGAGCGTTTGGGGCTTTACGGGCTTTGGGTGCAGGGCTTAGTGAATTTTCAGGGTTTAGGGTTGAGAATGATAAGGCTTGTGGAGACAGTTAGCATTTAGGGTAGGGCTCCGAACAGGCTGCCTTCGTGCGTCGCTGGTCTCCTACCAGCTCAACTAAAATCAACTAATAACTAATAAAGAATCCCAGGCAGAACGACTCAACACCGCAGTGACAGTTTCGTTCTACTCTCGGGAAAAGAAGTTCTACCCTTATAGTATCCCTAGACCCTAAACCCAAAACCCAAAATTCCTGTAAAACCCTGAAGACTGAGTCCTCGGCCTGCAGACCCGAAACCCTGAACCCTAACCTAAAACCAAAACCTCCCCCCGTTAACCCAACAAAAAATAATTAAAACCCTGGCCGCGGCCTGACTTATAACTCAGCAGCCCTACACCCCAAACCACCCCAAACCCTAAACCCAACGCAACACAAAAAACACCAACAGCTCCGAGAAGCCAGGGCTTCGCTGCCGCGGCATCCGGCCCAAGGCGCACGCTGCGGATGGCCAGGTCGACCAGCGCCTTTTTGGGGGTTTGTGCTCCGCACAAAACCCTTTTTCAGCACGGACTGAGGTGCCGGCCAGCACAAAACCCTAAACCCACAAGGGGCTTAGGGTGTGCATAGGGTTTGAGACTCGCAAAGGTTTAGGAGTTAAGAGGTCCGGAGGCCGACTCTGGCGTCTAATGTGAGGGCCTTAACTGCTGCCATAGGGTTAGAAGGATGCACATGGGGTTACTGAGAGGGCTGCTATGAGGGATCTATTGCGGCTTGTCGGTTTATGATAAGGGCTTTAAAAAAATGGAAGCGGGGCTTTTGGGTATATTGTACTACTTTTGTCATGTTCGGGGGTATGAGGGGGGCCGGATACGAACTTTTGCTTAAGCATAAGCCTGAGGTGTTGATGGGGTCCTTTAGAATATTAGGACCTGTATCTTAACCTGATTGGCCACATAAACTTCATATGGGAGTTTCCGGAAATAGGGGACTATTGCACCCTAAATAGTAGGATCCTTGTTTTAAGGACCCCAAAATAAGGTGCCCCTAATTTTCTGAAAACCCATATCAAGGTGTATCATAAGACTTTGCACAAAAGGTAGCCATGGCAGTTTCCGCTGAGGTTTCGGCGTTTTTAGGCGTCCACAGGGTTTGTAAAGCTATATTGCCCCAAAATCATGTAATCCCAAACCCTAAAGCATAGAGCGGTTGTGATTCTTACCTTCGGGCCGTTCTTAAGTTTACGAAGCTTACATGTTTGGCAACCTCAGGAATTTCACCTCGTGGTGCTTTCCTTTTTGGGCGGGCTGGGCTGGCTCAGGGCGCTGGGGCGTCGTAGGAGCTTCGATGTCGATTCTAGTTCGGGCTTCATGTAGCTTTCGTGCCAGGGATGTGCAAGGGGTAGCGCGAAGCTCCAGGCTAAACAGACCCTGAACTCTGAAACTCAAGAAACCCGAAGCCTTACATTCAACCAGCTTTAAGCAAGCTCTAGAACTACCTCACACCAAAAAGTCATTATAGGCCTATACCTAAGAAAGCTGAGCACGGCAAGGAACTGCCGCGGTCTCTTCCAGCTCTTCGATCCTGTGGAATGCCAGCTTAGTGCAGTGCTGCTGTGGCCCTTTCTGATGATGACGAGAGAATACATGTGACAACAACGAGGATGATGGTGGTGGGGACGATGCAGATGATAACACAAAGCAAAGGGGGACAACGATTATAACCCAGATGTCGGTGGGCTGCGACCATGATGGCAGGTGCAGCTCTGCTAGGGTCTCTCGATTTGGGCCGAGCCGTTGCATCGTGCTTTCAGGAGCCCAGACGCAACCTTACACACACGAACACTCGGATCAGGCGAGCTGCTGGCAATGTCTGAGACAGGGAGTCTCCTTGCGCTCTTCTTGGTGTTGCCAAATATTACCCTGGCTACTGAGCCTGAAAGTCCATGAGCTCGCCTTAAGCCTCGACCATGAAACTCGAGAAACCCTGTGATACAGTGGCTTTTGCGATTAAGATTTAGACGCAGCTGAGAGTCGGCGTTGGGGGCCAGCGGGTATACGAATATAATTACTTCTGTACAGGGGCCATAAGGCTTCGCTGCTGTTAATGAAAAATCCAGAGCCACCATTTGAACCGTTCCTTGGGGCCCTAAGCCTTCGATGGGCCTCCCCACTGCGTCGTGGCAGCAGCCCTCCACGACGCGCTGGACATCGAAGTCGGAGAGGTTGTCAAACCTGAGCTTGAAGTGTCATGGGTTTTGTGCGTGGGGTTCAGAGTTAGGGGCCTTAGGGTTTCGGATCTATATATGATTTGGCGGCGCTGCCTGGGATTTTTGCTTGAAAGGATTCGACTCCTGTCCAAATGTGTAGGTGTGTTCGGGACTCGAGTCCAACATCGTTGTTCAAGCCTTGGCACTCCGACGCACAAAAGACAGCGTGAACTTCAGAACTATTTGTACCTCCTGCGTACGTTGAACAGAGCACGGTGATAAGTTAACACCAGTGAATTCAGACTTCAGAACTATAGGGATACTATTTTTTCAGGGGGGTAGTAAATCCCAGGTATAATTAGGTATTACTTCCAATTGGCATGCAGGCACGGCAGACGATGGCCATGAACCTCTTGCCAGGCCAATCCGCACTCGTCACAAATCTTCAAGGATCAAAGCGTCCTACGGGGTCCAACATCTGCCTTCTGACTCCATTGCCGTCGGAGCTTGAGAAAATAACGGACCCAAGCCGATGATGCCTCGCAAAAGGCACTGACAAATTCTGAACCCCGAACTGTCCGAAACCTCCATGCGAATAACCAGGATGTCATTGTACGGCGCAGGGTTTAGGGATTAGCTCTGTATGGGGTCGCCATGGCGAGCTGCAGGCCGTCCGTACCCAGAATGAGAAAATCTCCAGGCTGAATGGGAGTGACCGCGACCGCGGCACCTTCGATGACCTGTGGCGTGGATGGGGCCTTTATGATTAAAAACGAGGATGTTAGCTTATCACGGCTATTGGCTCAGGGTGTGCACTAATCAGTTCATAATCGTTTGCCTCCGGCGTTGCTCGACTGGGCCTGCTTGGAGCGGTCTCAACGCTTCATCCGCGAGTTCTTCGATTGCCATGACGGCGTCATCCAGAGGAAAGAGGTTGGGGTGGAGGGTTGTTGGATGTGGGGCATGAGGCCTCGACTTGCGAGACGGCTTAATAAGACGACTCATGATTCCTTTAGAGAATACTTTTGTCTTTCAGGGTCCCAGTGCTTCTTTATCATGCCACTCTTCTCTTCTTGCCGTTTCTAGTGCTTGTGTTAGTACTGCCCTTTCTCTTGTAAATTAAGGCCTTTTTTGTCTGAAACTCCCATAGACACATTGAGGGATTTCTTGGTAGAGGGTTCAGCGGTTTAGAGCTTTAGGGAAATTGCTGAACCGGACAAAGGCCATGCAACCTGCCTCTGCTCCGAATTCATTGATTCTGGTATCTTGCGGAATTCTGGGTGTATCCTGCCCGTGCTGTGGAGAGTCACGCAAAAGCTTCCCTGGTGGAGCCTGTCTGTTTCCTGGTTTGCCTTCAACAGCCCTGAACTCCAACCCCAAAGCCCGGAACTGAAACCTTATTTCGTAGAACCAGACCCTGAGCTTGCCATCTAAGCCATGAAGTTCGCTCAAAAATTCTTGGCAGACACTGGCTGATAGCGGTTGAACAAACCACGGCACCTCCTCCGCACTGATTCCATCCAGACCTGCTGGCACTTCGAGAGAATCGCACCCATGGTTGGCTTGCTTTCGGGTTTCGGCGCTCACACTCGGACAATCCAGGCGAGGCATATGGTGTGGAGTCTGCGATGTGAAACGGCACTAGAAGATCACGTCAGGACGAACGCAACAGCCATCTTCCAACAGGTAAAGTGACTGTACTGCTCGACGTGTCTTCCCTCCAAGTCACTCGATAGGAAACACAGCACAACATGTGACTTCGAGGTCTGTGTATACAGCAGATCGCCAGGGGCAGGGCAGGGGTCAAGGCACTCATACACATAAAGTACTATGATGCAGAGCCGCGGTGCCTCAGGCAGCGCGATCTGTATGCGGAAACATGCTCATCATGTTTCTCATCGTCAGCATGTTACCGACCGTATTAATTAGGAGCACGACAGGGTTACATCAACCGTGAAACAGTGGAATATGTGGAGCTACCTGGATGATACTTTGCACACATCATGTGGGATGTGAAGCAGACCTCAAGAGAACGGACCTAGTGGCACAGTTACATCAATCATGAGCCCGCTATTTAATATTCTAGACCCCAGTTTAAAATCCACTTCATGATGAATTCTCAATGCAACTTGCACCAGAGAGGAGCTCACTGTAAGAGGTTCGTGGGAGCAGCTGGACTCGATTGAAGTCAATGCCACGGCATTGAACTCAATAAAGTCCAGGGGCGCTGGTAAGCTCTCGCATGCAGTGACGGGAAGGCGATGAATTGTCACCAGAGCGGCCAACATCAGCGCTAATGGCGAAAAAGAAGCAGCTGTATTCCATGCAGTTTGGCTCTCACGATCAATTCCATGCAGGTCCATGCAGTCAATGTCCTGTAACCCCATGTCACGGACGAACTTCTCGACTGTCTTTCTTAGAAGAAGGTTAAAGAAATTTTCGATGTACACAGAGGTGGCACAAGCTGAAAGTCTAGCTCTCCGCTCATGTCCAGAGAAATTCTCAACCGAAACCTTCTCCCGAAATGCCAAGATGGCGAGGCTTTTAGCAGCTGAGCAGTACGGCACCCGGATGTTGCCAATTTTCGGAAAGGGTCTTGAATTGTACTGCACCTGTCCTGGATCCTCAACCACCTTGTCAAACGCAGCAGTCGAATCTTTTACAACCATTCCAACAGCGTCCGAATAGAAGGCATCCAGCCAAGCCATGTCGATGCAACGAATAAAGTAGTCAGGCAGCCCCTGCCTCAAATCGTCTCCTGAAATGGACAACCTCCCGTCACTTATGACTCTTGCAGGGGAAGCATGTCCAGCAACTGTGCACATGCGGTCAAGCTGTGCTTTTGACATCTTGACAGAAATGATCCAATGTATCGAGGCGTATATGACCAGGGCATGAACTATGGAGTTTACATGAATTTACCATGGCCGTAAGGTAAGTTCCAGACTTCACCCCTTGCTGCGTGATGCAAAATACTCCCCAGCTCATCAAAAGAATGGAGTGAGACATGCCTCGTATCAGAGCCAGAAGAGCCGAAAAGAAAGTGGCGCTCGGAATGAAAAAGGGGTTATGTTCCAGATCCACGAATTCCAATAGAAGTAGGGCAGCCGCCGTTTGGAGCCTTTCTGGCACGCTACCATCCCAAGCCTTTATGTCTCTGCCAAACCAGTACAACTTATGCTTCAGCCCACGCTCCATGTTCTCAAACAACTTAGTCGGGGTTCCATAATAGATAGAGTCACCGAGCGTGAACGGAAGGCTGACTAAGGTACAAGTCGCAAGAATGAGCTTTACCAGGTTGTGAAACACAACTTGAAAGACGAATTGTTCCAAAGAATCTGTCCCTAACACAACACAACACGGTCTTTGACCCTGTTGGTGAAACACATCTGTGCGCGATAGAACTGTACAAAACACGAGTAATGCGTAGAAGCTCGACAAGACAAATCCGAAACGAACCTCGTGAGAATGCCGGGCGTGACGGCGTCGAAAGCGTGACGCTTGTTCACATGGCGCAGCATTGTAGGAAAGCCGGACGCTGTGGATCGTACCTCTGACCTTATGTGATCAAGTGAAGCCACTGAAGTCTTCCCACGGACAATGTCAGCCAGTTGACTTCGCAACTGATCGAATGCAAAGGTCCAAGAGTCAGTGGTCAAATCAAGGTCATGAACTGCGCGGGGCTGTTTTAAAGAGCCCTCCACAAGTTCAGTGAGCACCACAGGTGGCCTGTGAAAAGAGAGTGTTGCCCAAATGAGCGAAGTGCATGCGTTGGTAAAAATCCACGACAGGACTGCCAAATCAACATAAGATGGTCTGCTCTTGAAGCGGGTGATGGTGCCAGTTTTGCGGATCCGTGATGCGTGGTTTTGAGACCAGTGAGGGTGAAAGTACTAATGTCAACGACGTGTCCTGGGGGAGCGGGTGTGCTACTCGTTTTCTGCGCGGCATGAACGAGCATGATTCTGTGCAGAAAACGGTCGCGCAACAAATTTCCTGCGGAATCGTCGTGCAAAAGATGTCAACGGCTTTTTCTTGCTTCCTACGCTCCAGGAGGGCTGTGGCTGCCTCTTGTGTACTGCACATGTCCTACATGTCTCGAACTGCTTGTTTTGCAAACGGGTAACAGTCTAGCAAAGCGCTGGAGCCAGGCAAAAACCGGCCGTGACATTACAATGTCGAGTTAGGTCGTTGCAAATTCGGCGCGAGAGGGTATCAGCCGACAAATTCAATGTGGTTGGTCCGTGAAGCTGCCGACGGTAGCAGAAAAGTGTTGTTGAGCTGACTCTGATTTCTTCCTTCTTTTAGGATGCACGGTCAAAACCGGGCATTGAGCGACAATGTCGGCTTGAAATTTGCTTGGTCGGGTGCAGCGGGCTCGTCCATGCAGAAACTCACGAAACGACGACTCCCAGATGAAGAAAGTCCATCAAAGAACCCTTCATGTCTCTTTCTTGAAATAGTTCATACTAGTCCAAAACTCCCAACGGAGAACAGCCTCACCATCAAGCAGTTCCAACAGTTCCAACTTGCACATTTCACGTCAAACCCAGGGTGAACACAAATCACAAAGATTACACAAACACAATGCTGTGAAGCTGAGTCCACAACGCACGTTCAAGCTATGCAGATCGTTTTTGCAACACCGGTCAGGCGCTGGCAAAAATACAAAAGACGCAAAGCATGTGCCGCGTGCCACCAAGTTGATGTGAAGTCACTGCGTTGAAAATGACGGATGTGGTTACTGCGGTATCTTGACGGAACGAAACTGTCGCAAAGATGCCCGTTCGTTTTGCGGATCAGTTCGTGTCAGCGATTGCAGCGCGAGAAGGCGTTCGTACTATACACCGCGAACTAAACGCGCCACCGACGAAGTTGATACGGTTTTTCATGCTACGGGCAATGACACGAACCAGAACACGCTGTGAGGTTGTGATGCTGCCGTTCTTGACTGTAGTTCGTACCATAACGTACTATGGTTCGTATCATGACAAATGTGTTCGTAGCATGTTCGTATCATACAGCTCCTTTAGTTCGTATCATATAGTACGAACTTCCTCTGGCACGGCAATGCGTGATACGAACTAGTCCGCACAACCACAGTGCATCATCCAACAGGTGTGACCCATCAAGTCTGGCATGTGCCTTGCCCGTTTACAAGCGGGCACCTGGTTGCAACGGTCAGACTGACTGACTGGAACCGGAAACTTGGATGCACAGGCATTCTTCCATATCTGAATCGTTTTCTGACCAACTTCACACAGCTGTCTTTGAGCACTATGAACGTTTCGGACTGCCACACCTCGGCGACTCGGTCGGATATTTACAACTTCGTGCCGTCTCCACTAAACCAACGAAGCTAATGCATGCAGTTGAGCAAGAAAAAAGATATATATATATATATATATATATATATATATATATATTTGTACTGTTGCTGTACCCGATCGGCCTTATCTCGTATGCCAACCTCGAAAAGCAAGTTGACATCTGCGATACTTGTTCACCTAATGCCTGCAAGTTATTGAGACGCTGATTGATGTGCGGCTGTTTACTGGCAACATCTCATCGTGAAACTCTGCGTAAACGAGCCCGCTGTAATCGGCCAAACAATCTTCAAGCTTACATTATCGCTGAATGGCAAGCTTAGCATCATTTGTTAAAAAAACACAGGAGGGGGAACAAGACTCACACAGCAACACTTTACTATTTCTTCAATTGGGATTTCGACGAAAGCACCAGTTTCAAGCTGACGGTTCTTACGACCTGGTGTTAGGCTCGCCGGATGTTAAAGAACTGTGGAAAATCTGCATGCTGCGGGTGCACTCGAAGTGTTCAAACGTGCTGGAGGGTTTGGGCGCGAAAGTTCATTTGCATTGACGGAAGCCAACCACGACATGCCAGCGTCCAGGATTTGGCAAATTTGTGCGTGTAGAAAAGTTACCAGCCTTTGCAGGAACCACTCGAGGCAAAACTGACATGTGCAGCAAGACTGCCATGCCACAACGAACAGGCACAGCTTGGGCACCGCTCCACACAGCAACAGGGAAGGCCTTTATTACGGTTTCCATGCGGCATGCATAGCGCAATTGGGTACGCGTGCATTTTGGCGTTTGCGCAAGCCCATGGCGGAACGATGAACAAAGCCTTCCCCCAGCACACCTCGTTGACATTAGTAGGTGAAAGGGCATTTGGTAGTACAGATCACTTAGTGGTTTGACAACGCCGTTTGAACCAATTCTGGAAGAGACGTCGACAGGATGGCTCGTTGGGAGAGTGAGTTCTGGTGGAAACATTGGGAGTATTGGGAGCAATCCACATTCGTCAGGCTTCGATCTTCCTATGGTCAGGTACCGGGTACCATTGTAGAACAGGTCTAATTACACCATCAAATTCTTAGCCCGATCCTTCCGCCCCTGTGTAAACACCGGACAGACCTGAAGTTGGATCATAGCCAGAGCCTTGTCACTCCTCGATCGCACCCTTTAATGCGCGTGCCTTTCTTGCTTTCTCCGCCTCCTTGCGCGCTTTCTTCATCGTGGCTGCGCGGTTATGCATCACGGTGGCCTCTCTACGTACCGCGATTGGGGGCATTGTCTTCGTCTTGAGGCCAGACTCTTCTGCCCAGATTCGAAAATCCGCTGCAAAGGTCAACGACCCCCCCCCCCCTTCATTCCACGCCTCCGAGTCGAAGGGATCCGAAGCCGGACGCACGATCGCCACCGTCGGAGGAGTCTTGGAACAGAATTCCAACGTCCCAGACGTGTGCGTAAAATTAAAGATGAAGCCCTTCATGGCACGAAGCATCTTCACCGGGCTTCGTTTATTCGACTTAGCCTGAGAATGTGGAGCTATCCCATCGCACTTGTCCTTCAGACTTGCGGGGAGTAAGCTCAAGGCTTCGCGTGTCGTCGTTATGAAGTTCGGAATGAGGGGAACAACTTTCACGGCTGTGATGCGACACTTGTCTTTGAGCGCCGAAGCCTCCGGGGGATAATCAGGTACGGCAATTCCTTCAGTGCCGTCCTCCGGGTTCTCGGCACGCCACACCACTTCAGATGTCAACGGGCAGGTGATCAGCTCAGTCCTGATCTCCTTGACCAGTCCAGCTTTGGCAGCAACAGCAGCGGCAGGGGCGTACTGGTCAGAGCTCACCATTCCCAACTCAGATGCCTGATTGTAGATTGGCTCCTCAGCAGCGCGCACACCAGCTTCGCGCTTTGCAGCAGGTAGTGCCTCTGGTGAACCCGTGAACGAAGACTCCGCCTCCTTCTCAGCATCGCGAACGGAATCCACAATTGAGCGAGGGGGATTGGAGTACAGTTCCTGAGCAATTACCTCAGGCGGCCGTGCCGAGGTAGCAGCTTTGGTCACCATGAGCTGCTCAGACATGTAACCGGCATTCACACGAGAGAAGAGCTGCTGAGGTATGATGATGACGTTCACAATCCCTGATGACCTTAGGTGGCGCTGCAATGCCCTCTGATCCAGGTGGAACCACTTGTCATCCTCACGAGCATGGTCCCTCATTCGGATTCTCGAATACTTCGCTGCTCCAGCTTCGAACACCTGATAGAGGTGAGCCGACTTCCATGTTTTGCTCACCTCATCGAATGCCGAAAGGGCTTCTTGCGACAGCCGCAATGGGACGAGATGCCCACCAGCGACGTTGCACAGCTCTGCAGGAGTTACCTCTATCCCAGAGAAA